TTATTATACATTGATCAGTGCAATAGTCTTCTGGTACTGAGAGAATTGTAATGTTTCCATCTCTTGCTTAGGTAACATGATGTAATATATTTCAGAATTGATTGTGTTTTTTATTATGGAAAAGTTTTACCTAGACAGGAATTAGATAAATTGTCATGAATTCCTTATTTTGAAAGAGTTAGAGAGTAAGGAAGAACTTTCATCTCAGGTCATTAAAATTTCACAACTGTAGTGAATACTCAATATTTTCTTATATTTATATATTTTTAGGTATGTATATATCCAAAGAGAATGGCATATTCAAAATTTACTGTAAATTGTTTGAAGAAAGGTATATATTTATGTATTGTTGACTTCACTTGTATGTTGGTGTTTTTGAACATTACATGCACCCCTTACTATTAAATATGAAATCTGGGTACTGAGACATGGTCGGCAGTGGATGGTATGAGTGAACAAAATAGTCCACACATGGAAGACTTAACGTGGACTAAACAAGTAAACGTACGCTTAGCCTCTTGCTACACGCACAGGGGGGCACAGCCTACTGGATGTGTGCGTCAACTGTGAGCAAAATTGTTTTGTGACAGGGTGAATGACCCCAAACCCTATTCTATCATGCAGTATTTCATTCTGTATCCTTTTGACATGTGAATTCTTGTGAAATCTTTTATATTTATTCTTTCACTGTTATCCCTCTTTTGTTGATGATAAGCACAGTTTTAGAGATAAAAGAATGCATGACATGTAATGGGAGAGTAAGGTTATGTGGAATATTGAAAGAGATTCAGAATCAAATGCTGCTTGAGCTACACAGAAGGTGTAACATGCTACGTGTCTTGTAAGCTCGTGAAGCTAAGTGTCTCATCCTTCTATTGTCTTTATTGGTTGCAGAACTAAATTTGATCATTAAGGTTTCCTGTTACAGATTTCAAGAATATTTGTCATTGGAGATATAGAGAAAAATTTGTTAATGTAGTAAAAAGTCATGTAGGTGCATTGTTACAATTCAGATGATCTCTGTGATACACAACTGAAAGTTCTCTTTGATCAGACTGGTTAATATGGTCTCAATTATGGAAATATGTTGTAATGATTTACTTGTATGCAAAAGTACCATCAGTTACACAGTACTAATTGTATACATGTAAAGCCATTACCCTCTTTTCTAATATTTACTTTAATTAACATCTACCCTTTTATCCGAGAAAACATAAAGTTTTCTGTTACTCAGTGAGTAAACTTGACTTTTATGTGTACATAAGTTTCAGAAGTTCATCATTATCCATAGGATTTGTTAAATGGTATCATGTTAGAGGAATTTAAAAGTATATTATTTTAAAACAGTACAGTGGTGATATCCCTGCCATTCTCTCTCTCTGTTGGTTAATATGTTAATTGTTGAAATAGTGTTGCATTTGCTGTATTCTACAGTAATTACAGCAGTTGGTATCAAAGTCTATGCAAGCACTTTTATGTATTTCACATGTAAACACAATTGAAATCACAGAGCACTGGCAGTAAATGTTCCTCACAGACTAGGTAAATAATTCAATGGTGCTACTTTGACCAGATCATAGATTTTGTAAGCCACTTTCAGACTGTTAGGGAAGCTCAATACTGTACTTCATTGCATAGTAAATTGTATGTTACCTGTATAGTATATATGCAGAACTTTAGTTTAGATTGATATATGAATAGTATATATTCATATGTACATCCAGTACACAATAACCAGATATATACTTACAAAAAAGAGAGAGATAATGAGAAATATTGATAGATTTGCTTGCTATTAATTGAGTAAAGGGAGGAGAGGTCAGAGTTCCAAAACAGCTGAGAATGAAGCACATGCCCACAGCATTTTGCTTATACTTTCTTAATTAATAGTTGCATTTAGTTGTTTTGCCATTTTTATTTGATTAAGATTAAGTATAATTTAATCTTCTTTGCTCTAGAATATGCAGTATTATCTGAAAAGGTATATATGTTCCATCAGAGTAAAAAGAACATTCATTGTACATTGTACTGCTTTTACTATGATATACATAGGATACAGTTAGCTTGCAGATCTTGTTTTGCAGTTTTGATTTTTAGATTTTTTTTAATCTGTTGTAATGAATAACATTCTCATTTAAAATACAATACCCAGAACAAGTATAGGCACTGAATTCCAACACTATTATAAGATGCCAGGTAAAATCAACACACCTTAATAATATATGGTTTGAACTTTTTCTCTCTTCAGAATTGCAAGGACTTTCTGCTTCACAAATTATGGCCATGGGATGTACCTGTGTTCTCCAACAGAAATTCAGAAGTTTACTCTGTCCTCTGATTTCTGGTAAGGGAGCTTTTTCTTCTTTTTTTTAGAAGGGATGACATTGGAAGTGATGTGAAAGACAGTGGATTATCTCTGCTGGTGGGATATGAGCAGAGTTATGAAGGGAGAATCAGGAGAGGTACTTGATGTGTCATAAATTTGTGTTGTGGCTTCCTGTTCTGGTCTGAACTTCTATTCCTTCAAATTTTTATTTTGATAGTATATGTATATGTATATATATGTGTGGGTGTGTAGCTGTTTTTTTTTTATATATAATTTCTCGATTGTACAGGCTTTTCCTTTCTTTGATATTTAGGTCATTACATGTTGATACCTAGCAAATGAAGATGATATTTCAGTAAAGAGAATATTATTCCGTATTAGATTTTTATGTAAGGATCAGCAATAATGAAGTCAAAAGTCCACTTCTGTATTGTAGATATTGATGTTTTACTAAATACTCCTTATATTATGAATTTCAGCAAAGATATGCAAGATCTTCTTGGGGAATTATTCCTTCCGTGCGATATGCCAGAGCCTCCGAAACAGAGCTTCTTCAAGGGGCTGTTTGGGGGCGGAGTCTCACAGTTAGATCGGGAAGAACTCTGTAAGTTAAGATGTAAAATGCATCACTTTTTCTACATTATTGCTCACAGTTTAGTATAAGTTTAGTTTAGTATATCTTTTCCTTCTGAGTGTCCCAGTTTATTTCCTTAAAATACCCTTAAATTACATCATTGCATCTGATCATATGGTGAAATGCCAGTAAATGTTCTTTATATATTCTAAGAACTTAGAGGACTGATTAGTATTTGGAAATTATTTCATGTCTGACCAGTTTTCACAAACAATGTTCTCAAAGATTATATATTATTCTTGAGGGGTATATAGATGTCTTGAAAACATATGGTAATTAGGGTCAGTTGAAGAATATAAAAAATTCAAGTTTTTGAATACATTTACAAAAAGTATCAAGTACATACATCCAGACACTTAACCTGTTTTCTGGTAGATGTTTCTATTATATACAGAATTTGTATTTAGTTACTTTGAGATAATTATATTGAGGATATTCAGTCACTTAACGTATTGGGTGCAGTGCTTGTAGACCGGGCATACATGATTACTGATGTGCAGTGATAAGGACTCCATGCCTCCCTTGGCAATGTTATTTTCTCTTTTTGTGCATAAGCATTTTTAGCTTCTTGGCCTTGTTCCATGCTTTACCCAGATGGTTATAGACTGTTTTCCTTGCACAGAATCTGTGTCATCTCTCTAGGAAGTCAGGTACTCAGTACAATAATAACAACAATAAATAATATTTTGTTATTTATGTCTTTTTCTTAATCAATTTTCTGTGATACAGCCTGCATCCTCCCTTTGTGCTCATTGCTGTCACCCTAGCCTTTAGCCGAAATGTTCATGACGGCAAGTTCTTGTCACCTGATAAGCCCTGACTTCCAGATGCAGTGTTAATATTTTTATTACAACTATAAAACAACAAACAAATAAGATTTTTTTTGTGATCTTAACACCAAAGTTCCTCATTTCTCATTTGTAGAGTACAGGTTAGATGGACATCTACATTCTCACATGATAGACATGTAGAATATACAAAGTACATGATTATTTGCTCTTGTAATAGAGGAGGCTTGACCTCACATGACATCGTCATTCTGGCATGAGGGAAGGTCTACCATGACATGATGGAATGTCATTCCAGTTTGTGTGGGAGAGAGTTAGTGTATAATAATTCTGCATATATGCAGTACACACGGTCAGAAATTAATGTGGATTTATAGATTAATGTATTAAGTATTTTTATTGCTTGAGCATGATAGAAGCAGCTAGCCATTACATCGAAGCAGGAGGGATATCTTTAAAAGTTTTTTGATTGTACACTGACTTTTTCCAGTAATCAAATAATTAGAGAAATATGAAGTTGTTCTAATTTATCATCTAAAACTGTAGAGTGGTGAGCTTTTGAGTCTTGTATATTTATGGGTAGTGAGGTTTTTAGATGCAGCAGAATTTCCAAGACCAGTTCCATTTTGTTCAGGAAACTTGAATGCATCACTTTATTTTAAGAAGAGGATTGGAATGTGATAATGAGCTTAATGTATTCTTACAGTGTCATTAGATGCTGCACTTATGCCACTGTTCAGATAGAAAATAATGACCACACAATTTGCAGTTGGTGAAGCATCAGGAAAGGGATCTCGCAGTGTGGCAAAGCATATGCCTGGATCAACAGCCCAGCTAGAAGCTCTGAACATCCGCGCTGGCACAGTTTCTGGGGAAATTGCCAAAACCCGAATGCAGTTGGTTGAACGAGGACAGAAGCTCGGAGAATTGGAGGAAAGAACCGGAAGGATGATGACAGAAGCAGAGACCTTCTCCTCAACTGCGCACCAGCTCATGCAGAAGTACAAGGACAAGAAGTGGTACCAGCTATGAAGTGACTATCAGGTTGTTATGGTGATATCATGTACCAGTTATATATTTCCCTAGCACTACATCCTTCCTCTTGAGATGTAAGGGTATATGTGATACAAAATTAGGAGGGCACGTAGAGCGTCGCCCTTTGTCAACCTGCTGTATACCAAATACTTATGGGAGGTTGATACAGACACTGGGGAGGTTGGGTGCCCATTAGGAGAGGTGGTACTTGCCATTACAGTCTTACTGTAAATATGGTTCTTGCATTTAGACATCAGCCCCACACCATCATTCAAGTTGTTACAGTATTTAAGAGTATCAGCAGGTACCTGATACAAGTGTTAGGTGATGCTACCCTTTAACTGTAGTTGGTGTGATATCAAGGTATTATGCTGTAGGAGAAAAATTCCACATTAGTGTGGGAATTTCTTGAAGTTGTGGTGATTGTAAATAAGTAAAATATGTACAGGGAAACAGTCTTATGAGAATGAATATTGAGGAGTTAGTAGCTTGTATTCCCATGTGTTTTACTGGGTGTGACATTAATGGCCAAACTGCATTGGGCAAAGTGCATGGAGCTGCACTTACACAGTTACACCAATTGGTTGTGAGCTCTTAAGATTATCATTAGGTTTACTATTCCTAATGGTCTTTGATCAAATTTCCTCTTGTTCCTATATTCAAATTTTGAATTCTGTTTACCCTTTAATTGGGCACATGGATATTTTAGATTCTTCTTCTTTGTAAGGTATAATCAATATTTGATTTCATATGATGATCAGAAATGCAGTACTCAGTGTTTGCTTTTGTATACAGGGAGCACTGTTTCATACTGTACTGACTGAAGTTAGTATAACTTTGCCATTGGGCTGAAATCAGTCACTAGCACTGAATACTAAGTACAGGAATCCACTGTTGTTTTGTGATATTGTAATGCAATTGTTATTGATTGATACACAATGAGTGCAAATGTGGAATTGCTTCTAACTTTTATAAAGTGATCTTTGTGAATTTGCCAAAAATATGTGTTTAGACCAAGGATGCCCTATAATGCATAATTTTTGAAAATGTTCTATTTACTGATAATATTTTAGCCAAAAATTATCTGAAAAAAATTTAGTTATTTTATAAGCTGTACAAGTATTGAAATATGTGATATATAGATTTTTTTTCAAAGTAGATTGCTTTCCACTAAAAATCATTTAGGTATTCTTTTTGCTTTCAAGTGATTAAGAAAGTGTCTTATGCTAAATTACAAACATGTTTGGTAACTACAGATGAAATAACATTCAGTATATCAATATTCTATAGCATACTGACTGTAAATGTAATTTATTTTTCATGTTGTGTAGAAATTACAAACCTAGTTATCTGTTTAAATTACATTGTATATTGATTGTAAACAAGAAATTTCAGTCTACGAAGGGTCATCTGTATTGGCACTGTATCAACTTCATTTTTAAAGCAAGTTTTTTCTTTGGAATCATGAACTTTAGTTATTATATTTTTAATGTAAACACTTTTGTATCATTAAAAAAAAAAAAGAGAGAAAGAAAAAAACAACCTTTCAAGAAATTATATTCATGACCTGCGTGTCACTTCGTAGATGCACATGCATAAGAGGGAGCCGGCCTCTGCTTTTCTATCACAATCTGGCTCATGCATCTGATGATTCATCTGGGCTCTATTACATGATTTCAGACAAGTTTCAATTTATGTATGTATGCGCCCCGTTGCTGACAAACATGCGGGTCCATACCAAAAAAATTGAAATAACTAAGAGAACATAAACCAGTCTAATGCTATGGTACATGAGACTTTTCTACATGGAGTGAGGCTAGCATGGGTGGATGGACTATTTATCTACTTGTTTTCTGAGAAGGGATTATTTTTGCCTTTTGATTAATAGAGGATAGTCTTGGACTTTTCATTTGGCTTGAGAAAATGTTAATTTACACTTTGTAGTGACAAATTGAAAGGACATTTACTTATCACAGTGTTTTGTAAAATATAATATCCATGTTAAATTCATTATCCACTCAGTAATAGGTCAGATTTATGTATCTTTTATATATATATACATATATGAATATGTAGAAATATATTTATGTATACAAGGATATAGCCATATCCCATTCTTTAATGGCTTTTTGTAAAAGCTGAAAAAAAATACGATTGTAATTTCTGTGATTTAGTTTTACAACAGAATTTTGAAGGAGATGGAGGGTTCAACACCCCATAATACAGACACAACAACCAATGCATGTTATCCGTGTTTGTGGATCTTACTTAAAGAGAAAATAAACCTAAGTGTCATCAACTTCACAGTATACAGTTCTAAAGTAAAGTATTTTTCTTTTTCAAATCATGATGATGAGTAATACCCATTCATATTACTGCAGATAGATATTTATGAAATGCATTACATTTGACATGGCTTTTATTTTGTATTTATTATAATTACCATTACAATTTACAGTAGAAAATACAGCAAGTGAGAGAAATGAAATAGAAACTCTTTGTTTACATTTTCCTTTCAGGTTTCCATTGTAAGTAAAGCTTTTCAGGTTTTGCAAGTAACACAGACTGTTTGTTGAGCTGTGAGGGCCAGACTGCCAGGGCATTTCAAGATTAGGATTGTGAGTAACCTTGTTTCTTTTCCTTTTAAATTTCAGTGGCTTAATTCTTCATCTTTCTCTTCTTTTTATTCCTCTCCTTTTCTTTTTTCTTTTTTTTTTCTCCTAAGATGGATTTTTTTTTTATTCCTGTTTTTCCCTAATGTGGTGAATATCGTTCAATGTAAAGTGTACATAAAAAGTGTACAGGATCTTAGAGTTTTGTCGTGTTATGTCAGTGATGTCATAAGTATATAAGCAAAAATCTATTACCAGTTTAATGCTGAGCAATGCACCATTCAACAGACATTTGCAAAGTCACAAATAGAGGAGTATAGACTTCATTCATTTGATAATCACCATAAATGCACCAATTCTCATAATTAAATGTGCCGCCTCTCATAGATATTGATTGTGATTTTTTTTTTTTTTTTTTTTTTTTTTTTTTTTTTTTTTTTTTCTTTTCTTTTCTTTACGGAGACATGTCAGTGTAGTAGTTTTTATATATAATTGTCATTCTATTTTTTGTTTTATTTTCATTCACTTTTTATTTTATTTATTTGTTTATTTATTTATTTTTTTTATTGTGATTGTAATTCTTGTTATGAATAAGATTGTAGATAATAATATCCCAATTTTCTTGATAAAAGGAGTATTTATGATAGTTGTGATACCATTATTATTATTATTATTGTTATTATTTTTTAGCATCATCATTATCTTTATATTTATTATTATTACCATGATCTTTTTTGTTATTATTCTTTTTTTTTTCTTTTTTTTTTTACTATTATTGTTTTATGATTATGGTTATTATTAATATTTTATTATCACTATCTTATCATCATTTTTATTGGTATCATCATTATCATCATTATCTTGTAAACATCATGGATTTTTTGTAATTATCAGTATCTTAATATGCAGATTTTACAGCTAATAAAGATAATAGGACTATATTATTAACATCAAGCATTTTCTTTGAGCTTTGGGACTGTTGAATAGAAGTCCATTATTATTGCTATTATTATCTCATTTTCTTTATTTACTGTTTATTGATCGTCATTAATTATCACAAATACGAATTCTAGTGATATAGCTTGTTAATTTTTACGAATCTTGTTAATGTTATCGACGTAATTGTTGTCATTGCGGTAAATTTGGTTTTCTTTGCATTATGGTTGTGTTTCAGTGAATTTATGATAATTAGTTGATTTTAGTATTATTGGTGTTTGGTTTTTATTATGTTTGATGATTTTGATATGTTTGAGGATCTTGATAATGATAATAGTGATGATTTAGCAATAATAGTAGTGATAATGACTGTCATTATTATTGTTATTGTTATTATTATTGTTATTACTGATCATGTTTGTTTTCATTTTTTTATCATTATTGTTATCATCATTATCCTTATTATTATTATTATTATTATTATTGTAATATCATTGTTATCATTATTATTGTTATTGTTATTCCTATTATTATCTATATTATTCATTATTTTGTATTATTATTATTATTATTGTTATTATTATTATTATTATTTATATTTTTATTATCAATGTTATCCTTGCTATTTTCAAGGAATCATAATTATTTCTGTTATATCTTGAGTTTCATTGCTTTAATTTATAAAGTGATAATTGTTATAGTTTTATGGTCATTTCTATAATCAGTGATTCCTTATCACATATTTCTCATTTTTTGCTTTTGTTTTTATTATTCTTATTGCTATTATCATTCATATTATTTGATGATATAACTGCTACTACTGTATTTATTGCTGTTGTTATTACTATTGTCATTATTATTTTCACCAAAAACAGTGGTGTTGTTATTAGTAATATTATTTTTGTTATTTTTATTATTATTATTATCATTATTATTAATATTGTTATTATTATTATCATCATCATCATCATCATCATCATCATTATTATTATCATTATTGTTATTATTTTTATGATGATTAATATTATGATTATGGTTATTACTATTATTATTATTATTATTATTATTATTATTATTATGACTGTAGTTAATATAATTATTATCAATTTTATTGATCTTTATAATATAAATGTAACTAATACATCATCAAATCTGTTATTCATAATTGTACTTTGAGAGGAATCCCCAGTTTAAGAGATTTCTTTTTACATTTTGTATTTTATTAATATTGATATCATTCTGAATTGCTAAAGGAGTAACATCTATTCAGATTATTGTTTTTTTCACTAAGCAGAAGTAAATTTATTGAAGTAAGAGAGAATAAGATTTCCTTATCTGCACTGAGAGAGTTGGTGCCAATTTACTGCTGTGAATGGGAGTAGCACTTGGTGAGGTTGATACTAAATTTTGGAAAAAGGGTGAATGGTTTTGCTCATGCATTAACAGGGAAAGTTTGAACTTACTGGCACTTTCATATAAACAGCTTATGTGTCGAGACATGTTATAGGTGTACAGATCTGTCTTGTGTGTCTCATGACCATAGATGTAAGATAGAACAAAGAGTTTATAGTTATATAGAATTTTAGTTAATGTGAACTTAGTTTAGTTTGTGGATTAATTTGTGTGTTATGTAAGCAAATAGAATTTTCTTGTAAATGAAAATAACCCATGGCCATATCTTTCTGTCAGTTTATGAATTGAATAGGTTATTGCATAACAGAGCATTAGGGAAGATAGCTGTGAACATATTGATTAAGCATTCCAACATGATTAAAGAGTATTGTCACTACACACCTCCTTAACTCCATTGGAAAGTGATGTTGTCACCCGCAGTGACTGCCAGCAGCTTTAAATATACCTTTTGTGGTGGGCCTCGAAGTGTGGTACAGTTTGCAAGCTACATGTGTTTCTTGTTGTATGTTAGATCAATGTCTTTTCTTCCAACTTCTCTTTGTGGAGATTTCTAACTTAACCTTTGTGCTCTTGGGAGACGGCGTCTATTTATCCTCAGCATTAACCCAGTATCGTATAATTAATCATTGGAATTGTCACTGCTCAGAGCAAAGAGTCAGCTGAGCATTGTGAAATGTGGGGGACCTGTGACGAACACCAGTCACCACGCTGGCCTTTGTTCCCAGCACTGATCCTTTTTCAATATTTAACCATGATATTTATATCCAGCATGCCTTTTGGTAGCCAGTTTAAAAGTAGTCTTTTAGGATACTAGAAAAATCTTTCTCCTGCACCATACTAATATTGTATTTATCATTAGACTAGGCAGTGCAGTGTAACTATAATGATGTCATCTGCACAAATTAGTACCACACTTCAATTATAAGGTATATTTAATTAAGGCAGACTAAAGTAAGACAAATGTTCATGTTCATGTCTTATCCAGGTGGCAGTGTTCATACTCTTTTTCAGAAAGTGGTGATTTTTATGAAGTTTAAAGATTTTAGCAAAGGAAATTTTAAGTGTAAATATTATATATATATACATAAAAGAATAATTTGATATTGATAATTTGTTATTTTGGTACATTCACTTCATTTTAGTCTTCCCTGGCAAGGGTTCTGGCACCTCTTCTTGACTTGTCAAAATTGAAAAAGGTTCAAATGTAATAAGTATATTGTTTATTATTGATATCAAGCCAAAGAAAACATACATGTTGTGTCAGCTGCATGCAGGTTGCTTTAGTTGTTCTACACAGTGCAAATCCTTTCCTTCATATGAATTCCAGTGTATCCCTTATTTTTTTGTTTTGAATAGAAAAAAAAGAATTGTGGAAAGTCATAGCGTCTTGTTAAATCGTGGTTAAGTCATAGATCTTGTTAAAGTAGATGAATCACTCCTTATTTTGAAATGAGGCATTCTGGTCTACAAGATGGTGCAACGTGGTCTGTATGTGAGTCAAGGCACCTTGGTCTTGGTCGTGAAAAGCAGCACTCTGGTATTTATTGAGACAATAAATCACTCCTGGTGGTGGTTGGTTACCTTTGAAGTTATGAATTTCATATAAAATTAGGCAGGTTCATGGTAATCAGTATTAGATCAGGAGCAGCAAAAGAACCATTTCTCTGTTCTAGTATTATAGTATGGCCACATATGTTTGTTTCAAATGTACTGTCTGTTTTCCATGTGAATTTTCAATGTCCATAAATGTCACCTGTTTGCAACTGTAAAAAAAAAAAAGCCTTATCCGACATGATGCCAGCAAAAAACTGTAATTGCAGTAGTTGGAAATTTTATTGATCTTGCTTCAGGATGGGTTCTCATGCCCTGGCAATTGGTTATGTGACTAGTTATGTTATAGTGCCCAAATATTCCTCTAATATTTAAGAAAATTAAGTTTTTATCAAGTTATGAAGATATTGATCATATTATTTTATGAATTTAAACTGTTTAGCTGTAGAAAGTGAATTGTAGAAATGGAGGTGTATTATAGCATCATAGTGATTTATGCCATGTACTTCATCCAGGATTGGACTGTATCATATTCATATTCATTGACTGTAAAGTGGAAAGTTAGCAGGAACAGAGTGATTGTGATGGCAGTTTTGGGTTTCTAGCAAATATTTATTGAAATAGTACAATGGTTACTAACTGTCATATACTTAGACTCCCAAGGATTAGTTAATAAATTGCCTTATTAATAAAAGAAGGCTATGTGATCAGACCCTTGACACTGTGGAGCTTATATTGAAATATCAGCACATGATATTTGATTTCACCAGTTTCTCATACGCGTCAGACTTCATGATATGACTTACTGGATGAAAAGGTATAAATGTGCTTTTGTTTCTTATATAATCTGGATAGAAAGATATGCAAAGTACATCTGGAATGAGCAAAGTATATGAATGCTCAAACACTCTGTGGTAATAACTGTGACAGTTTTTCCTAACTCAGAAAGATGCCTAACTTCCAACATCATTAATTTCTGCCTAACTGTTGGCCAATTCCTGGACCATTGACCAGCTGTTGGACAAGATTATACTAACCATTTTTGAACAGTACGTTAGGTACTTGGGAACTGAAGCAGTGTTGTTCAATCAGATTTCAGTTGAATTATTAAATACTGTCATTTTATAGACAATCCGTAAAGTTCTTTCATTGATTTAGGAATTAAAACTGTAGTTATCACAGGAGACTGACATGGGGAAAGAGAA